GTGTGTGTGTGTGTGTGTGTGTGTGTGTGTGTGTGTGCTTGGATAGAGAGAATGTGAGAGTGATCTCTCCATTTCTTGCAGGGCTTACTCTGAGGGCAGGCTTCACAAGTGAGAGCTGTCATATTTTAACGTCACCTCTGCCATAAGTACTTGTGTATCAGATGGAGTTCGCCGGCCACGTGTCTACACACATAAATGTAGCAGACATCCATGCACACACTCTTACCATTCACACAGTTTTTTTYCACGTGCACTGAGGATCATGAGGTTTTGTTGGCTTTAGAGGTGGCTTTAGAGGTGGGCGGCTGAGTACGAGTCGCAGTGTGGGCCTCATTTGTCGCTGCCAGGCGTCTCCTCCGACATTAAGAGATGCGTGCCCCTCACAGATCTCAATGATTAAGAGATCAGAAAATGAGTGACAGCTCTGCGTCAAGGCAAGGCCACTCTTTGTGTCTGTGTCACACAGGATGATTTAAGAGTTGGGTAAAGACTCCTGGATCCCTCGTTCACACCTTGCTAAACCTTCTCAGCTCTGGTGAACACTTGCCTGAAAGCCTTGCCCATTACATGCTCCCTGCTCGCCTGCTCTGATTAGCCTTGTCTGCAATCCATCTTCAACCTTTTTTTTTTTACTGTTTGCACCATCTTCCTCACCTCATTTCTCCCATTCTCCTCTGAGTCCCAGATTTCTTTAACTAGCCTGTTTTGTCCATTTTTCATCCCACTTATTCTTTTATAAAACAAAACAAAACAAAAAAGTCCAAACAAACAAGTAATATTTGGTTTTTGAGGCTCTCAAATCACTTTATGACCTCCAGTTACAGGATGTTTTCTGTTTGTAGTGGGTATTGTCTGGAGGTCAGACACTACTCTTCTGTTGTTTATGTAAGTCTTTAAATTTAATTTTAAAGGAACAAGTATCCTGTTTTGGGAATCTTTTGAAGCTTATCAGTTTAGAGGCAAAACTCACTGTTTGTTGACCCACTCTGATAAAGAATTGTTGCTTATTTGAACATTCTGAAAATATTTCACCCTCTCTTTGTTGCAATGCAACAGAGGTTGCAGGAGCAGCACTATTGCAAAATGTAGTCCACCTGCTCCCTTTTTTTCCCATCATCTATGACTTTACCATAAGCTTCAGCTCTTCTTTTTTTGCTAATGAAACCATAGTCAATTTCTCTCTCTCTCTCTCTCTGGAACATTAAGGTGCTTTTCTGAGCATCTCTCTTCAGATCTATCGAGTAAAAAGCTTTTACTTAACGCATTTTCTCCTCCAAGCTATGAATGTTATTGATCTGTGTGTTTACAGCATCTCTCTCCCATCTATCTTCCTTTGAGTGGTGGATTCTCATCATTTTCCCCTGAAATGTAAGAATTGATCAGGATCCTATGGGCCCCGCAGGCACCAGCTGCTGCTGTGCCCACCTGCCTGTTAACCCTCGTGCCCTTGAGGAGACAGCATCCGAGTGGCCGAAAAACAAAACCGCGCTCCTATTTGTGTCTTTCTCCTGGTTATATATATACACTCCCATTGTGTTTGTGTGTGAATTAATCAACTTAAGCCTCATCCATTTCCTTCCCAGCAGCTGACGCCTGCACCCCACCTTCCACCCCCAAAACCCTCCCCAGAGATGTGTTGCATTGCGTTCCATCATCTCAGAAGAACAGAGCCGTGTAGATTTCAAACGTGCACATTTATACACGCGTGCACACAGGCTGCTTCGGAAATGATATTGTTCTTTCTGAAAGAGCTCCTTGTAAGGCGAATGTGACAAAGAATTGTGAGCAGTTTTATATGTGATCACTAGAGGGCACTGCTCACTTATTAATTCTACTTTGTCTTGTACTTTGTCTTCATCTCGCTTGCATTTGAAATGCAAATGACAAAAATTAAATAAATAAAAAATACAAAAAAAAAACAATAAAAAACAAAAAACTCACCATAAACAAGGAACAAAAGCTAAATAATTCACTTTCTCTCTCACACTTGGATATATTGGATGCATGCAGATCAGCTTCCCCTGATTTCATCTCATGTCAAAGCATYAACTCCCTCCACCTCTGTGTCCAAGTTAAACAAGCCACTACATGCACACCTCGATTTGGACAGGTGTCCTGTCAACATTTGTTGCTCTTACATTCATTTTTTATTGATGATTTGCACATTCTAGCCAGCCACTGTGAACGCRGTTGCACAATAGATATGTAAATTCCAAACCCATCAATTTTTCAGACCTTTTAGTCTGGAGTGCCAGCTGAGTCTCTGAGGCCATCCTTCATTTTTGCCCCTTGCGGATAAAATGATGAATAGGTAAATACCAGCCAGGTTTGATTGTTGGACCACCGGAGATTTCTTTAAGCAAAGAAAACACACTCTAGTTCTTTGAGGGCAAAGCGGAGCTGCAGATAATCAGGCGGAATCGTCRTCAGACAGAAGACAACAAGGTCAGAGCTATTACCAATTAACTAGTACTTTTTGTGCCACACAAGTAACATAWATGTAAGGAAGGTGGAWCATTCTCCTTCASTGAGGAAAGAAAAAAAAAACAGAGTCAAGGAGTTTGTTAGTAGTTGGCCAAGGTTACAAACCTCAATAAATCAAAGCCATGCTTGTACTTCAAACAAGGACACACCTACAGTTGCATTAGAACAGACATTTTCAGACACATTTTAGTTTCTGGCATTCTTTATACGTAATGACTATACTCTCCACAAGTGACTCCCCCTTACTTGACCTCTCTCTGTATGTTCTGTTGTATTGAGTGGCACGCATAGCAGATGAAGAGCCTCCATATCAGGCTCACCTTCAGCGAGACTTTCATCCTATTAGGGCCTTTATGAAACTGAACAGGTTGTGTTCTGAAAATGGGAGGCACCTGCATGAATAAAAMGTCTCAGTCAAAGGGAGATTTGCTACAGTCGCTGTTGTTTCAGCCTAAACTGAGAGAATTTCTGGATGATGTAAATCAATCCGCGAGAACAAACCTTTCAATTTGCTGCTGCTGCTTCAATTTGCTCTGATAACRTTAATAGATTAAAATAACTCAATGAAATGGAAAATAAAAGAACTGTGCTCAAATGGTTTTCATCAAACTAASACAAGTTTGGATAAAACTGTAACACTGCCGGGGTTCATTCTATTACACATTTCCTAACACTCAGCCTGCCACTCTTATTGTGGTGAGAGAGAGAATCCGTRCAAAGACACAGATAGACCAAGTGTGCATACATACATTCATCTGGCTTCAAACAAGGCAAAATTCAATTCATCACAGTCCCTCTGAGTAYGTCCTTWTTTTTTTTYTCTCTGTGGTATTTCCTCTTCATTCACATTTTTTATGTCAGGTCCTCTTTCAGCTGTGTTTACTTGTATTCTTTACAGTTGCAGCAAAAACATCTAAGTCGTACGTGAGAACCCTGCATGGATTTCCAGATAATTCATTTACAATAAAAWCATGAAAGCGGTACTTGAAGACGACTCGAGCAGAGTGGCATGACTAGGATTTCTTTATCGCATCTGTAGCAATAATTCTGAGCCAAGTTATTATATAAAATCACATGGCCTTGGTCGATGTTTTTTGTTAAGTAGCTKGAACAAGAACATTATTTCGGAGTCCCAACCATATATCCTGCAGGACTGCTGCATTACCCATCAGCACTGCCACACAGGAAGGCCCTTTCATATCATAGTTCTGCAATAAACATGCAAACACAAAYTCCTATTTACAGCTCATTTCTCATTCAGATCACACAAGCTGATCCGGGAAGATCACGGGACTGTGTGTGTTTTCATATTATGCAGATCGCAGCACCAACTGAACGTGGCATGGAACTCAGCTGCAGTGATGTGAGCTCTACAGTGATGGCAGATGAATTTCTTTTGAAGGCTTTCGAAATACGCTGCTGAATTTCACCCTCTTCTCCAGTGAACTATTTTTGCTCCTATTTCTTCTTAGAAATGATATACTTACTGGTTGCTTATGTTTTTAAAGTCTGCAGCCAGATGATCACAGAGACTTCAGGTCAACAATACGTCACACACTGGCTTATACCTTTTTATACTTTAGCCGTTTTGGTTACCTCCGGTGGCGGATTAAAAAGTGGGGCAGCTTTAACTCACCATTCTGTTTTGACTTTTTTCAGTGTTTGCTGAAATGTGGAAAACAAGTGTAGATCGTGGACTGAAAATATGACTTGAAAGTGCTGGATTTATGCTAAACCTCTGCTTTACATCTACAGCACTGTCATAATTCTAGTCAACATGAATCAGGAGTAAGAAAATCCCAAGGTTCTGAAGGCAGAAATAAAATTGGCACAAAAAGTAAGAAATTTGGTGTTTGGTAGATAATTTTTTTTCATGGCTGGCAGTAAGGTATCAGAGTCCCAAAACAAGTGTCAATAGCAACAGCAAAAGAAGCTGTTTAGCATTGGCAGAAAATATATGGCTAATTTTTCATTTGCACGTACTCAGCTTTATTACTCATCCCACAGATGCATGTTCCTTACAAATGTGGCACCATTTAAAAGGGAATTGAACAGACTTTCCGACAGTATAAGATTTATTGCCAATAAGTGTCACAACAAAGAAATAATCTACCAAACACACATTTCCTTACTTTTTGTGCTAAGTATATATTTATCCCRCTTTAGGTTCTGAACTTATTTTTTTATTTTTTATTTATTTTTTTGTTTGTCCTGTTTGTTCTGTCACCAGTGGGTTGAGCTTCTCTGGCCAAGGTAGCAATCATCACTGCTTGGGGATTGTCTGAAGCTAACTCTGTCTCAAATGTTGAACCTTTACAACTTGATCTCTCCCTTTATTCTGTTTTTCTTCAACTGAGCCGTATTACTTCAGGAGAAGAGGCYGACAGACTAGAAGAAAATGTTTCACAATCTGTGTTTAAAATCTGACCTAATTCATCTGTCTGCTGTGGTGTTTACCAAAACCAGCTGATT